CCTTTTGGGGACAAAACCTCCAGTTTTGGGAAAAGGAAAGGGGGGAAAGGAAAAAACGGGGAGGGAAAGGAAAAAACGGGGAGGGAAAGGAAAAAACGGGGAGGGGAAGGAAAAAACTTGTGGGTTGCCACCCAAAACTGAGTGTTTCCACCCAAAAATTTCCACTGTCCTTCTCTTCCTCCTTCTCCTCCTTTTCTCCTCTTCCTCCTTCTTTTTTTCTCTTCCTCCTCTTCCTCCTCTTCCTTCTCCTCCTCTTCTCTTCCTTCTCCTCTTCTTCCTCTTCCTCCTCCTTTTCTCCTCTTCCTCCTCCTTTTCTCCTCTTCCTCCTCCTTCTCCTCCTTTTCTCCTCTTCTTCCTCCTTCTCCTTTTCTTTCTCCTTCTCCTCTTCTTCCTCCTTCTCCTCTTCTTCCTCCTTCTCCTCCTTTACTCCTCCTTCTCCCTCTTTTCTCCTCTTCCTCCTCCTCCTTCTCCTCCTTTTCCACCTTTTCTCTGCTTCTTCCTACTCTTTCTCCTCCTCCTCCTCCTTTTCTCCTCCTCCTCTTCTTCCTCCTCCTCCTTTTCTCCTCCTTCTCCTCCTCTTCTTCCTCCTTTTTGTTCTCCTCCTCCTCTTCTCCTCCTTTTCTCTTCTTCCTCCTCCTTCTCCTCCTTTTCTCTTCTTCCTCCTCCTTCTCCTCCTTTTCTCCTCTTCCTCCTCCTTCTCCTCCTCCTCCTTCTCCTCCTTTTCTCCTCCTTTTCTCCTCTTCCTCCTCCTTTTCTCCTCTTCTTCCTCCTTCTCCTCCTTTTCTCCTTTTCTTCCTCTTTCTCCTCTTTCTCCTCTTCCTCCTCCTCTTCCTTCTCTTTCTCCTTTTCTCCTCCTTCTCCTCTTCTTCCTCCTTCTCTTCCTTTTCTCCTCTTCCTCCTCCTTCTCCTCCTCCTCCTTCTCCTCCTTTTCTCCTCTTCCTCCTCCTTCTCCTCCTCCTCCTTCTCCTCCTTTTCTCCTCTTCCTCCTCCTTCTCCTCCTCCTCCTTCTCCTCCTTTTCTCCTCTTCCTCCTCCTTCTCCTCCTCCTCCTTCTCCTCCTTTTCTCCTCTTCCTCCTCCTTCTCCTCCTCCTCCTTCTCCTCCTTTTCTCCTCTTCCTCCTCCTTCTCCTCCTCCTCCTTCTCCTCCTTTTCTCCTCTTCCTCCTCCTTCTCCTCCTCCTCCTTCTCCTCCTTTTCTCCTCTTCCTCCTCCTTCTCCTCCTCCTCCTTCTCCTCCTTTTCTCCTCTTCCTCCTCCTTCTCCTCCTCCTCCTTCTCCTCCTTTTCTCCTCTTCCTCCTCCTTCTCCTCCTCCTCCTTCTCCTCCTTTTCTCCTCTTCCTCCTCCTTCTCCTCCTCCTCCTTCTCCTCCTTTTCTCCTCTTCCTCCTCCTTCTCCTCCTCCTCCTTCTCCTCCTTTTCTCCTCTTCCTCCTCCTTCTCCTCCTCCTCCTTCTCCTCCTTTTCTCCTCTTCCTCCTCCTTCTCCTCCTCCTCCTTCTCCTCCTTTTCTCCTCTTCCTCCTCCTTCTCCTCCTCCTCCTTCTCCTCCTTTTCTCCTCTTCCTCCTCCTTCTCCTCCTCCTCCTTCTCCTCCTTTTCTCCTCTTCCTCCTCCTTCTCCTCCTCCTCCTTCTCCTCCTTTTCTCCTCTTCCTCCTCCTTCTCCTCCTCCTCCTTCTCCTCCTTTTCTCCTCTTCCTCCTCCTTCTCCTCCTCCTCCTTCTCCTCCTTTTCTCCTCTTCCTCCTCCTTCTCCTCCTCCTCCTTCTCCTCCTTTTCTCCTCTTCCTCCTCCTTCTCCTCCTCCTCCTTCTCCTCCTTTTCTCCTCTTCCTCCTCCTTCTCCTCCTCCTCCTTCTCCTCCTTTTCTCCTCTTCCTCCTCCTTCTCCTCCTCCTCCTTCTCCTCCTTTTCTCCTCTTCCTCCTCCTTCTCCTCCTCCTCCTTCTCCTCCTTTTCTCCTCTTCCTCCTCCTTCTCCTCCTCCTCCTTCTCCTCCTTTTCTCCTCTTCCTCCTCCTTCTCCTCCTCCTCCTTCTCCTCCTTTTCTCCTCTTCCTCCTCCTTCTCCTCCTCCTCCTTCTCCTCCTTTTCTCCTCTTCCTCCTCCTTCTCCTCCTCCTCCTTCTCCTCCTTTTCTCCTCTTCCTCCTCCTTCTCCTCCTCCTCCTTCTCCTCCTTTTCTCCTCTTCCTCCTCCTTCTCCTCCTCCTCCTTCTCCTCCTTTTCTCCTCTTCCTCCTCCTTCTCCTCCTCCTCCTTCTCCTCCTTTTCTCCTCTTCCTCCTCCTTCTCCTCCTCCTCCTTCTCCTCCTTTTCTCCTCTTCCTCCTCCTTCTCCTCCTCCTCCTTCTCCTCCTTTTCTCCTCTTCCTCCTCCTTCTCCTCCTCCTCCTTCTCCTCCTTTTCTCCTCTTCCTCCTCCTTCTCCTCCTCCTCCTTCTCCTCCTTTTCTCCTCTTCCTCCTCCTTCTCCTCCTCCTCCTTCTCCTCCTTTTCTCCTCTTCCTCCTCCTTCTCCTCCTCCTCCTTCTCCTCCTTTTCTCCTCTTCCTCCTCCTTCTCCTCCTCCTCCTTCTCCTCCTTTTCTCCTCTTCCTCCTCCTTCTCCTCCTCCTCCTTCTCCTCCTTTTCTCCTCTTCCTCCTCCTTCTCCTCCTCCTCCTTCTCCTCCTTTTCTCCTCTTCCTCCTCCTTCTCCTCCTCCTCCTTCTCCTCCTTTTCTCCTCTTCCTCCTCCTTCTCCTCCTCCTCCTTCTCCTCCTTTTCTCCTCTTCCTCCTCCTTCTCCTCCTCCTCCTTCTCCTCCTTTTCTCCTCTTCCTCCTCCTTCTCCTCCTCCTCCTTCTCCTCCTTTTCTCCTCTTCCTCCTCCTTCTCCTCCTCCTCCTTCTCCTCCTTTTCTCCTCTTCCTCCTCCTTCTCCTCCTCCTCCTTCTCCTCCTTTTCTCCTCTTCCTCCTCCTTCTCCTCCTCCTCCTTCTCCTCCTTTTCTCCTCTTCCTCCTCCTTCTCCTCCTCCTCCTTCTCCTCCTTTTCTCCTCTTCCTCCTCCTTCTCCTCCTCCTCCTTCTCCTCCTTTTCTCCTCTTCCTCCTCCTTCTCCTCCTCCTCCTTCTCCTCCTTTTCTCCTCTTCCTCCTCCTTCTCCTCCTCCTCCTTCTCCTCCTTTTCTCCTCTTCCTCCTCCTTCTCCTCCTCCTCCTTCTCCTCCTTTTCTCCTCTTCCTCCTCCTTCTCCTCCTCCTCCTTCTCCTCCTTTTCTCCTCTTCCTCCTCCTTCTCCTCCTCCTCCTTCTCCTCCTTTTCTCCTCTTCCTCCTCCTTCTCCTCCTCCTCCTTCTCCTCCTTTTCTCCTCTTCCTCCTCCTTCTCCTCCTCCTCCTTCTCCTCCTTTTCTCCTCTTCCTCCTCCTTCTCCTCCTCCTCCTTCTCCTCCTTTTCTCCTCTTCCTCCTCCTTCTCCTCCTCCTCCTTCTCCTCCTTTTCTCCTCTTCCTCCTCCTTCTCCTCCTCCTCCTTCTCCTCCTTTTCTCCTCTTCCTCCTCCTTCTCCTCCTCCTCCTTCTCCTCCTTTTCTCCTCTTCCTCCTCCTTTTCTCCTCTTCTTCCTCCTTCTCTTCCTTTTCTCCTCTTCCTCCTCCTTTTCCCTTTTTCTTTTCTTCCTTCTCCTTTTCTCCTCTTCTTTCTCCTTTTCTCCTCTTCTTCCTCCTTCTCCTCCTTTTTTCCTCTTCCTCCTCCTTCTCCTTGTTCTCCTTCACCTCTTCTCCCTCCTCCTCCTCCTTTTCTCCTCTCCCTCTCCTCCTTTTCTCCTCTCCCTCCCCCTCCTCCTCCTCCCCAGGTACTACTTTCGGAACTGGCACGGGATGAACGAGCAGGAACCGGCCGTTTATCGCAACGTGCCCCGTCCCAGCGACTGCCCCGACGAGCGGCTGCCGGGGAGGGCTTTGCTGGACAAATCCTCCTTCCAGTACCTCTTCGAGCAGGTGAGCAGCTCCCGCCCCAAATTTGGGGGAATTTGGGGGGGGATTTCCTCCATCCAGCCACATCCGGCTCGGCCCAAACCGGGATCTGGTGTGGGTCAGGATCTGTGGGGCTGGGGGTGTGGGGTTAGGAGTCTGTGGGGTGGGGGTCAGGATCTGTGGGGCTGGGGGCTGTG